AATCCAAAGTCAGATAATACGCCTTCACATACGCGGTCAATGTCCACGGGTAATTCTCCTTCTTCTTGTCCTGTGAGAAAACAGAGACATCAAGATCAGAAGACTCCAAGCGTAAGCGTAAAGACATGATTCGTTATCATTATTTGAACAGCTAATTATATTTGTACATGAATGTGAGGGTGCTTGTGAGAGAATAATGAAATACTCTGCAAACCAAAAAAAAAAAAGGAAGGGAAATTGGCAAATATAACTAAGAAAATAATAAAAATATAATAACTATGCAAACTCTCTTATGTGGCACTAATTATAATCACTAATTTTAGGGTTTTTAGTTAGTTTTTATGTTTTAAATTTTTTTTTGGTTATTAACCAAATTGATCCTTAATTTATTTTATCATCAAACCTTTTAATTTCCACACAAAAAATTGAAATTTTATAATCTCTGGACTTGAGAGCAGAGGGCAAATACATTGATAACAAACTATATTTGATTCGATTAGATAAATACAATATTGAAAAATTACATCAAAACATACAAAAGAAATGTTGAATTCACACTTTTTTTGTTTGGTCAATTTGGTTAATAACCAAAAAAAAATTAAAACATAAAAACTAACTAAAAAATCCTAAAATTAGTGATTATAATTAGTGCCAAAAGAGAGTTTGCATAGTTATTATATTTTTATTTTTAATTAAAAAACGAGAACTTGGAAAGTGGCATTAACCCTAGTCTTGAGTGTTTCAAAATCACATGACAAACAGTATAAATACCCTAACAAAGTATAATCCGCAGCTACAGCAAAATCCATAAAACCCTAATTCACTGTTACTTTGCTCTCAAAAAGCCGAAAGTGTTGATTTTTTTTTTCCACTCTTGTTTGGTGAAATCAAATTGCGTTCTTGAGTAAGATTGAAACCATTGTCTATACCGTTTTGATTCTTTTGTTCTACTTCCTTATCGTCTTTTGTGTACTGGGTCGCATCACTTTGATAGATCTGGTTTCGTTTGATCATCAAATCTCGTTGATTCTATTGAAAATAGTCTAATTTGGATGAGTTTCTTAATTCTTATGCTTTGGTGTTTGTGATTTCTCTAAATTAAGTTTAAAGGTTTTTTTTTTTTTTCGATTTGAAGCGTTATGAAAATCCCTATGATGACTTTGTGATTAAAAAATGTTAAAAGTAGTGACTGATATTGATGAAATTCTCAGCTCTGAGGGATTTTGGTTCTGTTTCTTTGTTTTGTTTTATGGTCTTGTTAATCTGTTATGTTTCATGATTAAGGTTAATTTAGTGAGTTTTTATTTGATTGATTGATACATGAAACACATACATATTTTTGTTGTTCTTATGATCTTGTTAATCTGTTCTGTTTCAATGATTATGATTTAGTTTAGTGAGTTTTTGTTTGTTTGATTGATGAGAAGCATACAATAAACATTTGTGTGGTCTTTAGTTGCATCCCAATGATGATGAATATAAAAAAAAATGTTAAAAGTAGTGACTGATTATATATTGACGAAACAATCAATTCTGAGGGATTTTGCAACTACTTTTCCATCGATTTTCTTAAAATATATTCAATGCTTTGTGCTAATCAGGTTGATTTGTTTTGTTGGTTATACAAATGAAACACCTTAATTTGTTGCATCCCCCCAGTGATGCCTGAAAAAGATAAAATAGTTAAAAGTAGTGACTGATTATCTTATTGATGAAGTCTTCAGATCATCTGAGGGATTTTTTCTTTCTTTGAGTATCTGTTTCATAATATTTCATATTTATCTTTGAGGTTTGTTGATTTCTTTCTAGATTGATCTTTAGCTTCTACTTTTAAATCCCCAAATACTTTGTTCCATTTGTTTTCATTCTTGTTCACATTGTATTATCAAGATTCTCCAATATCGTGCTCTAGTCTAAAGATGAACTCTAGACTCTACCGGTTTATAGTTTTCAGGTGTGAGAGTTGGATTCAATTGAAAGAACAGAGTCAGTCTTTGAATGAAGATGAGATAAAGATTTTGGATGGAAGAGAGGATGTGGTGGTCAATCATTTTTTGTAGTCAATCTTTTGAAGCCAATGCCGAATCAAGATGGTAATCACACTTGCAAACACTAATCAACTCGTGTTTAGCGAATGCCCGAAGCAAGAGTGGTGTTGTAAGGTTGCCTTTGAGAATTCTGTTTCGTTGGTAGTGTTGTAAATTGTAATTAGGTAAACGATTTTCCTCATGGAAAATGATCCTTGTGGTTATGTGAAAGGTTTTGCATAAGAACTTGTTAACCAAACGGGTTTGTTCTCAGTATTGTATTCGTAGAAAGAGTGAAAATCTCCATCGAATCCAATTTCTTTTCCTATTAAACATTAGTATATATACTACAATCAAAAGAAAACTAGTCAGAAAGTCATTGAATCAATGTATAATGTTCTAAACACCAAGAATTTAATCTGCACCAACTTGTAACTAACATAACAAACACTTTTTTCCAAGTTAATGGCATCTCCAATAATAAGAAAATGATTATTTGGATTATATATATTCATTGATACTGGTGGGTTTTATATACAGTTTGTGAAAAGTTGCTGCTAGTTTCTAAAAACAAAAAACAAGAGTTAACAGAAAGTAGAATGCGAAGTTAATTACTCCAAACCTTTTCCAAAATTTAAAACAGTAATTTCATTGTGAGAAATGTTTGATAAGAACTAAATTTTTTGCACAAGGCTATATAAATGGGCTTTGGGCCGTAACAAAACTCTATTTGAAGCCTTTAAAATAATCAAACATATAAAAAGCCCAGTGAAGAGTTTGCTAGGGTTTCCTCTTTTTATTCGAGTTAAAAAGGTTAAGTCGCCACTCTCTCCACGTTTAGCTTCGTCTCCTCCTCTGCTGCAAACCGCACGACTTCAAGATGGTAAGCCTCTCTTTCGATCTTTTATTACAATCAATCGCTGGTTTTCACTGTCTCAATCGGATTCAGAGGTTGATGTCTAGTGTTTAGTTAGAAAGTCGAACATGATTTTGATTTTCTGTTGGAAAAAAATGAAATGAAACAGCCGTCGCACAAGTCGTTCATGATCAAGAAGAAGCTTGGGAAGAAGATGAGACAGAACAGGCCTATTCCTCACTGGATTCGTCTCCGTACCGACAACACCATCAGGTTCGTCAATCTTTCTTAATACTTTTTGTTGTTTATCTTCCCGATCTATGAAATGGAAATGTGTAGTTGTCGTGGTTAGTGGAATTTAGGGCATAGACAATGTTTGAGTTCTGAAACCAGGAATGTTTCGTGGTTGTTTTCAGGTACAATGCCAAGCGTAGACACTGGAGGAGAACCAAGCTTGGATTCTAAGTGAAAAAGCTTTTAGTTCCTTCGAAAAGAGTGTTGTTCTTATCTGTTGGATTTTTAGCATTTCCTCAAGTTTCTTTCTGGATTTATGTTATGACATTTTCTTATTAAATGTAAGACTTTTGATCTCTATTTTGCGTGATGTTACCAAGTTTTCTTCCTATAGTAGTTACTTCGATATCATTTGTGTGATTTGACTCTTTCAAAGATTTTCGAAGGATCTTATTGCTCACAAATTGGATCCTAATTTAGGGTTTTTAGTAAAATCTCAGATTGTGGAAGCTTTCATGCTGCTTTCTTCTTGTTCAGGGTCCTTAATAAGATTAACATTCTTGGTTTTGCGTCTCTGTTTATCAATATGGCTAAATACCAAATACAATCTTTCCTCTTATCTTATTGTGAAATTATTATCCAAATACAAAAGTATACTGAGGTCGAGAGGCTTAGTAAACAAGTTCTTCTATAACTCGATGGGAGTCTTCCAATACAACAATGCCTGTGAAACACAATCAAACCAAAAGTTCCTCGGCAAAATGTCTAGCAATAATAGTATGTTGAGCTAGCTTATTAATATAGCCATCTGGTGTCAATCAAGATCAATATGAAACTATAACTTTCTTTCTCATTGTCTGGTCATCTTACTACTGAGATTGAGACTCAGCTTACGTTGTGGTATGAGTCGATGATGGCATCAGCGAGGTACTCGCATTTCGCAAGGGATAACCCTGCCAACGATATCCTCCCGTCTTTGGTCATGTACACATGCCACTTGTTTGTCATGTTATCGCTCTGCTCATTAACAGAAAAAGAAGGATACAAAATTCAAGACCCTCAAGTCTAAACAAAGCCAAAGATCTATTAATCTGAGTAGTAATCACATTTTGAGGATACCTGAGCTTTGTTGAGGCCTGTGAAAGAGAACATGCCAATTTGCTTCAGAATGAAGGACCAGTCCTTGCCGCTCTTGTCTTTTGAAACGAGGCTATCGTACAACTCTTGTCTCACCGTCTTTATTCTTCCCGCCATCATTTCCATCTCTGCTTTCCATTCATTGAACATAGTTGCATCCCCCACGACATTAGCCACGATTCTCGCCCCATGAACTGGTGGGTTCGAGTACATAGGCCGAGCGATCCTTTTCAATTGGCTCTTGACCCTGAAAGAAAGTACAAGTGTTACTGGTAACGGTTCCATAAACCCTGTAGCTAGGTATGGTTTTTTACGGTAAAAGGTGAAAAGTGAAACTTTAGGATCACTAGCACTAAGTCTCATGACAAGAAACTCGAGTGAGTTTTACCTTGTAGCTGCATCGGCTGATGAGCACACGACATTGATCGCACCAATTCTTTCTGCGTAAAGTCCCAAATTTTTACTATATGACTGAGCAACAAAAAACTCCATTCCGCGTTCGGCAAATAATCTGACAGATGCTGCATCTTCATCAAGGCTTCCACTAGCAAAGCCCTGGATAAAAGGTGCATGTAGCATCAAATAAGTTGATACGGATCCGCTTAATTCTATCGGAAACACGATACTCGGAGTTGTAGAAAAAAAGATACCTGGTATGCAACATCGAAAAATGGGATATGGTTCTTTTCCTGAATGACATCAGCAATCTTTACCCACTGTTCTGGTGTTGGGTCAATTCCAGTTGGGTTGTGAGCACATCCATGAAGCAAAATGAAAGATCCTTCTGGGGCTTCCTGTACAAATTTCATAAAAGAAATTCAAGAAAACCCATCAGAATTCATGAGGTATTCTTGATATTACCGCATATGGACAGCCGAATTGCAAACAAGTATTCAAAGACAGATTAAGCAGGAAAGCAATGGCAATTCAGGGAGAACAAACCTTGATATCTGCTATCATTCCCTCAAAATCCAAACCAATTGTTTTTGGATCATAGTACCGGTATTCGGACCACGGAACTTTGGCATCATTGAAAATATTCTTGTGATTACCTGAAGTGGTAGTTTGTCATTGAATAAAGTTGATCACATATACGAAAGGGAAATACACAAATGTTTGAGGTCAAGGAAACTTACCCCATGTTGGTGATGATATCAGAACTTTAGCTCCAGGGAAATAACGCTCTATAAGAGCCGCTGCTAATCGCAGTGAACCTGTTCCCGAAAGACCCTGAATTGTTGCCACCTGGAGATTTAGAGGCAAGGAAAATGAATTAGTTAGAAACAGAAAATTATGACTAGTGAAGCATAGCTCAGAAACAGGAACATCAAGAGCATTTCAAAAACATGAACACAATATCCAGACATACTTTTTGTTCCTTAATTATAGGATGGTTAGCTCCAAATAGCAACTCGGCAGTGGCCTTGTTGAATGCCGCCAACCCTTCGATTGGGAGATACTGCAGTTTTCATCCAAGTAGGGATAAGTTTTAAAGCATATTCTGATGATCTAAAATCTTGTAAACAAACAATTTCAAGTAAACTAAGTTACCTCTTTGTTATCTCCTCTCTCCAACATCAAGTTCTCCGCCTATAAAGAAAAAAGTAAAGAGACTAAACAATCACTTAATCTGTCAAAGAAAATCAGTAATCTGAAGAAACTACAAAAGAACACAAATGGAAGGATCCTTTGTGGGATCAAGAACACAAAAGCAACAGTTGCCAACCTTTTTAACAACATTAAGGACATAAGGCTGGAGTTCCTCAGTTCGATACGCCCCAACACCGAGATTAAGCTTAAGCTCATTAGTGTCTGCTTTGAAAGCTTCGCTGACTCCAAGAATAGGGTCAGGTGGAGCCATAGTTATACCCTCGAAACGAGAAGGCTTGACTGCAACAGTCATCATAGTCACCCTGCTAGAAGACTGAAACCAAACCCAATTTCTCAGCTAAACTCTGAACAATATCTTAATTAGATTATCTACCTCCACATGAGTTCTGATCAGCTCAATAAGTCATTTAGATTGTTCATATGGTTCAGGTTTCGAGCAATAACAAAGTAAAAAGACACAGTACCTTTGCTTTCAGGAACGGGTTCGAACCTGAATTTCCAAGCTTTAGCTTATCCTATTCAAGTTCAATCGAAAAAATTGATTCTATAAGGTGAAATCTTCCATGTTCCTGATCTTGAACAAGAGACTTCTTTGCCCAGCCAATTTTTCTGCCACGAACAGAGAGAGACACAAACAAAAGAGTTACCTTGTTAATCTCGCGAGTTAACAGAGAGGTCGAACCAAGAGATAGCATTGAAGAAGCCATGGAATCGCTCTACGGAACAAAAAGCTGCACAGAGATCTCTAAAATCAGTGAACTAGTACGAGGATAAGCAATTCCGACAGATGTGATCCACTTAAGATGATGAAAAAAAAAAAAAAGGTTAGGATCAGATTGAGCAGGTTGTGATGATTTGTCACCTGGATTTGGTTAGAATCGTGCGGTTTCGAAACGATCAGATCAAGATTGAAAAGAGAGAGAGTTAGCAATCACCTAGAGAGTGACGATATGTACGAAGAAATGGTCTTGATAGGGGTAAAATGGTCATTTACTATATGTTCAAAAATCTATAGGCCTACAATTAAACCAACTGAGATGCAGGGCATTAAAATAGTCAATTAGAGTATTTGTTATATAGTGTTAATAATCTTGTTGCTGTATAATGTGCCAACATAATTTATAATATATAAGCAATTTACAAATACAATCATTATAAATATTACTGTATGTACCCCTGGGAAATTTCTGTCATCACATTTTTCACCCCCACAATTCTTAAGAATTCTGATCAAACCCTATATATTAAAACAAAAAACAACAACAACAATTATTTGGTTTAAGACGATGATTGTGTTAACCGGAGAGTCCCTCCTAGCTCTACCGGAACCAGTGGAACAAGTGAGTGAAGAACATCGGTTATCAACGGTCTATAACTCGGTTCTGGCTGTACACAAAGCACTGCCACTGCTGCTACCTGAACCAATCATTTCCGGTTTGGTTTATGATTCAACCACAGAAAAACGCAATCGATTGGTTTTACCTTTACATCACTTTAATTAAACC